CGCCGTTGGTGATTCGCTCTGTTCCCCCTTTACTTCATCGTTGCTATCATTCTAATAGAATAACCCACCCCAGTGCTCATGGTTTTCGCACGTTTCCATTCTCGTCGATGGCTGTCTCGCTCGCACCATTGGCAAAACTTCTCACGCCTTTCCCCCTTCGTTTCTTTTCTCTCACTTGGGTTTATGCGGTGGCCACACCGCGCTCATCGGCCCTGACCTTAAGGAACTTCCGCAGTAAATTTTGAGGCTACGGAGAGGGGAAAATATCAAAGATTCCGACACTCCGCTGCATCCCTTGGAAAAGAAATAATGAAGTGACGAAAAGTTCACGGGTCTATTGAAATTTCGTCGTTTAGGTTTCTTCACAGTTATTATTCGTGATTAATCAATTCCAATTATTTTTATTCCGAAATGTTATTTAGTCGAATTTTTTGAGGGATAAAAATTTTCATGAGAGATTTGATAACCACGCATTTTTGTTCGGGGCAGTTGGTATTCTTGTGTCCCGATAAAATTAGAGATGACCGTCATTTTTTAGATCGCGTCGTATGACCAAAAAATGACGGTCATGTGACGCACAAATTTTCCAACAACAACTGATTGTCACAAATCATTTGTAACCAAATTGTTTCAAACCATTTAAATAGTTGCATAATGACGAGCTTTGATGCATTTTCAATGATTACAAATAATCCCTGTGGTGACGGCTAATGAAATTGTGGGGATATGTTCCTGAAATATATAGGGGAGGATGGGGCAAAACTGCCCCCCTTCAATCGTCAATATTTTCCGATTCAATAATCCGATTGGGATGAGTTAGAGCTCGTTTTGAAGAATGAAAAATTATCTTCAAAATGAAGTTGAAACTGGGAATTTTCACAATGTCATTCACAAGTTATTGACAATTGAAGGGGGGCCGTTTTGCCCCACCCTCCCCTACGATTCCATTCATGAAGCGTTTGGATTTTGATTCCATTGTCGATTATTTTTTTGTGATTTTTGAAAAAGTGGTGCCATGAGGCTCTGTGTTGATGACACATTTTTCATATTTTCTTCTCAACAATCTACGTGGTTCAGCGTTTTGGGACTTCGGGGGGATATTTATAATCGCGCAAAGAATATATTCTCAAAATTTCAGGTCTGCAGTCCATTTCCTTCTACTCCCATATGTTTACTGCGGAAGTTCCTTAACTAGGGGGGTGTGGTGACAGCGAGGGGAGTGGGTTTTTCTTCGGTTTTTTCTTCGGGTGGAAAAATCGATTAAGTAATTATCGGGGTTCAGTGGGGCTTGGCGATTGAGGGAGATCGGGGAAAAAGGCGGTTTGTTATTCAGATGTTTGGGGTTTTGTCGGAGTTAAGGGACTTACACATCACTTGGAGTTTTACGGTGTTGCTGGCGGTTTTTCCCTCGCTGTTGGCCGCCTTACATTTGTAGTCGCCAGCAGCCCCGCGGGTTATGCCTTGCAGGACGAGGGAGTGATCGCTCAGAAGGACTCCGGCTGTCGCGTTGATCTTCAGCTCTTTCTCCTGGTGGTGGAGGGGAGATTAGATTGGTGGGTCAGATTGGGGAGGTTTTTGGGGGGAATTATGATGAGGGGGGATTTTTGTAGGGAGTAGTCAAGCGAAAAAGATTGCTTCGGGAGGTCTACTACGATTTATCGCTAGGAGAGAGGCTTGTTCATTGATAATTATGAATTTAATTTGGTGAATGGGGTTTGCGGTGATCGAATAAGAGTAAACTCAGAAAAACTCTAAAGGCGGGATTCAATACAGCTGCACATTGTTAGAAAAAAAATGAAATTCCACGGACAATTGACTACTAATTTTCAAGGCAATGACACTGAATGCTATTTAGGGGGGAAAAAAATCATGAAATTTCAGGTTTCACTGAAAATTTAGGAAAATTCCAGAATTTTAAGCAGCAAGTTCTTAATTTATTTGAATTTACAATCTAATGTAAATATCCAGTGCCAAATTACATTGAATTTTCAGTGAAATCGGAAATTTCGTGATTTTTTTCTGCCTAAATGGCATTTAGAATCCATGATACTCACATCCTTGAACCACGCCAATTTGTACACCCTCGGATTAGCTCTAACAATGCACTCAAAATAAACGTCATCGCCCTCCTTGATGCCGTCTGGATTAAGAGTAACACCCATTCTGAGGCTGACCACTGGCTGATGCTGCACGTCTAGTCTCCATTTATCCTCCACTATACTGTCGGGAATCGATGGATTCTCAGCACGGCAAGTCAGGTACTTGCCGTCGTCCTCGATGCTTGGCACGAATTCGAGGATGCTGATGCTCTGATTGTTCTCCGGTTGATACTGGTTACGTGAGGATAGAAAACGAATGAGCCAACTGATTCGTATTGATGGCAAGTTGAGGATGAAGAGAATAGCGGGGAGAAAGAACGGGAAAATTGTCTAAATACCTGGGGGAATTGACAATTAGGCATAATTGGATTTTTTGGGAAAGCCCTGATTGTGGTGTTTCTCGTAGAGTTTTTCCTCGTGAAAATTCTCGGGTTTCAGGTGACCAATAAAATGATAGAAATCACTTGAAGGATTTAAGTCAATTGCAGTTTTCATTGATGTCCTGATGGAAAATTGATTCTGATTCTGTATTTTCTAACGATTCTGATGCCGATGAAACCCTCGGAGGTGCCACAAATGCCGAAATAAATTTTTTTTTTCACCCGGAGCCAAAGGATCAGATTTTCGGTTTTTCCAGGGGGAAAGTCGACTTTCGCCAAAATCGAATTTTTTAGCCGGGTGAACGTTGATTCCAACTATTTAGGCGACGGGCTATTCAAAACTCTCAAAAATATATGGAAAAACTGAAAAATGAAAAAAAAAATTTTTCACCGGGGGCCAGTGTCAGATCTTGGATTTTTCCAGGGGGAAAGTCGACTTTCACCAGAATCGAATTTTTTAGCCGGGTGAACGTTGATTCCAACTATTTAAGCGCCGGGCTAGTCAGAACTGTCAAAAGTATGTGGAAAAAGTGAAAACTGAGAAACCGTTTTTTTTGGCCCCAGCCAAAGGGTCAGATTTTCCGGTTTTGCCAGGAGGAAAGTCGACTTTCACCAGAATCGAATTTTTTAGCCGGGTGAACGTTGATTCCAACTATTTAAGCGCCGGGCTAGTCAGAACTGTCAAAAGTATGTGGAAAGAGTGAAAACTGAAAAAAAAAATTTTTCACCGGGGGCCAGTGTCAGATCTTGGATTTTTCCAGGGGGAAAGTCGACTTTCGCCAAAATCGAATTTTTTAACCGGGAGAAAGTTGATTCCAACTATTTAAGCGACGGGATATTCAGAACTCTCAAAAGTATGTGGAAAGAGTGAAAACTGAAAAAGTTTTTTTTTTCAGATTTTCAAAGGGTCAGATTTTCCGTTTTTGCCAGGAGGAAAGTCGGAATTTCGACTTTCACCAGAATCGAATTTTTTAGCCGGGTGAACGTTGATTCCAACTATTTAAGCGCCGGGCTAGTCAGAACTGTCAAAAGTATGTGGAAAAAGTGAAAACTAAGAAACCGTTTTTTTGGGCCCAGCCAAAGGGTCAGATTTTCGGGTTTTCCGGGGCAAGTGGATTTTCGCCAAAATCGAAATTTTTAGCCGGGTGAACGTTGATTCCAACTATTTAAGCGCCGGGCTATTCAGAACTATCAAAAGTATGTGGAAAAAGTGAAAACTGAAAAAAAAAATTTTCACCGGGGGCCTGAAGAAGCATAACAAGTCAATTTTAAGTCTTCTTTATAAAAATGGGTATTTTTCTTCGAATAAATTGAGGAAAATCTCTTGAAGGATTCAAACCAATTGCATTTACCATAAAACTCTTGATTGAGGTATCTCTCGCTGGAGTTTTTTCTTCTCAATGGTAATTCTCGGGTTTCAGGTGATTATGGAAAAGGTGATGGGGTGTCTGCAGGAAGTGTCTGAAATCATGCCTCTGACTTTGGAAAATTATACAAGCTCTATGACTTACATTAACGAGAAGCTACCCGAGTATTTCCTAGCAGTTGAGTATACGAAAGGGGCCCAGCCAATTACCAAGCCTTTCACATAGATGAAATATGAAAATTTTCGGGGGTGAAAAGCTCTTGGTAGAGTGTACGACAAGTTCTCTGTCTACACTGCCAACCTCCTTCGTACCTTTGACAAGGATTAGTGGAGTCGGCACTCTCTCTTCATCCTCTCTTGAGAGACCAAACCCAGTAAAAGTCGTCTCGCGATACCTTGGGCACCGAGTAAACCTGTACAACACTGGGATTCAGCGTTGACAGAGTAAAAAGGAGACTTCAGTTTCGGGGAGAAGCTGGAGAAACATGGGAGGATGAGTGGAAACCTGATACTCGGGATAAATGGGAAAAGTAAGCGGACCTTTGGGTTGAAAAGTTTGGGGGAGAGAGGAATGAACGACGTGAAGAAAACGACGAAATGTCGGGAGAGATTTGCGAGATTGTTGAGGAAAGTTCGTCGTGTTACCCCTGGCTTTTCACGTGAAATTAGAGGGTTGAGGGGAGTTTGGAGGAGTCCTTTTGAATTGGAGGATTGGAATTTAATAGGTAATGCTGGGAATTGTTGGGGGGAAATTCATTTGATGATTGAATGGAGAATTTGTTCATTTGGGTCTGATCGGCAGGAATTGTTTACTCTTTCGTGCAGATGAATGGATCTTGAATTCTCTATTTATCGGTTTTTATCAATTTCCGGCGGAACATCCCCGTCGAAATGATTTTACACACAATGTCCTCCCAGAGAAACCCCCAATCGATCGCGATTAAATACTCCATGAAATGTTGCTCTATCAAATCACCACTCAGTCACCATTCGAGCTGTCTTCGCCCGCTGAACATCCGCATGAGAAATAAAATTGACACACTGATGCAGTAGACTCCACAAGTGACAGAGAATCCGCTCTGCCAGTCTTCCCTGCACATGCTTGATTGATTGCGACGGCAAATATTGACAGATGGCAAAGTAAAACGAAAACCCATCGCGAAAAAAACACACACACCCACAAACAGAGGAAAATAAACAATACAAAACGAGGAAAACCCGCATAAACGTAAAGAAAGGGATGACGTGAGAGGGAGTCTGAGAGTCAGAGTGTTTGACGAGAAACCATCCACTCCGCAGGCGGGTTTACTGGCCAAGTGCATTAGTGGGATAAAGTCGATCTCCCTCACCTACTCGTTGGACGGGTTGTGCAGTTCTCGTGGCTTTTGCGACCCCACCAACTCAACGCGGATTATCATCACCCACTGCGCATCAGTGGGGGGCGATAGTGAAAGAGCAGGGGAAAAAATACGAAGCCTTTCAGTCTGATAACATCG